TTGCAGCTTAGATTTGAGCGTTGACTGTTTTTCACATGGCCAACTGTATGTCGCTCTTTCAAGAGTAACTTCTAGAGAAAACATGTTTGTATTGTCTAATGACAAGAAAGCTGAGAACGTTGTATATAAAGACATTCTGTAATATATTAATTGTTGTAAAAAAATAAAATAAATAGGTAAAAATGTAAAAAGTAAATAAGTAAAAATGTAGTGTATGAATTTAGGTATTCCAAAGATAGCAGAAAATCTTCATGGTATAGGGAAAGGGAAATATCTCCAAATACCACGGGCAGTAATGAATAAATCAAAACGACTGGATCGATTTTAATCATTTTTTCAGTGAGTGACATAGGCTATATATTTTATACCCGTGCGAAGCCGGAGCGGGTCGCTAGTAACCTATAAATCTTTTTTCATTCAATTTTTCTGTGCGTACAGAAGGAAATTTTTATGTGTGTCCAGAGCGGACACACTGTGCCGCAAAGGGTTAATGGGGTCTTCGTACACCAGTGACTTGAAGTACCCACGTGAGGAAGTAGTCACTGCAAGTGAGGTCTGACGATTTGTTGCCCAATGTACCGAACGACCCCTGATGATCCATTGTAGAGAATATGTTGCATTCACTTGGAGATGCACATAAAGGCTATAACATGAGGTAACCTATCATGCTGCAACCATATCTGTACTTGGTCGTGTCCTTCCTTTGCTGTGGTTTCTGTCGTCAGTACCGCGCCGAAAAAGCGTTTACGACCATGCAATTGCTGTGCGATTTTCCATCATCTAGCTGCACTGTAACTGTCCTGGAAGTTTATAACAGCTGTGCTGAAACACACTGTATAACATTATATTGTAAATTGTGTGTTAGTATAAATTCTTACTAGAGTAGCTACAAACAACTGTTTAATGCTTCATTCAGAAGACGTAACTACGCATCGTGATAAGCCTAATAGCTGAGACGCGTATAGATATTTAAATGATCTTCAATATTTATAATCAGACTTACAAGGAGATGTAATTTAGCAACAATATATCAAGTAATGGCGTCTACAACTAATGCGTCGCTCAAGAACCTGGAGACAGAGCAAATTAAGAAGTCTGTTCAAAGCTCAGATGTCGTGACTGTCAGAGGCGAGATCAGGGTGATTCGAACTGGTTTCAAAAGCAACAAATAAAGAAAGGAGAAACTAGGCAGCGAGAATTCTACCTTCCGTATCAAGTTTATTAATTTTCGGCTCCCGTTCGAAGTTACAAAAGCCATGTTTGGACTAGAACGTGAGTTCTGTTCTTAATGATTGCTGTCACGAAATTCAAGATTAAAACTATATGCTCTCTTTGATTGGCAGGCGATAAATAGCATTCTGTATGTACACCATGTTTCAGGGTGCGGCTGACGAAACAATATAGTTCATGATTTATTTTTATCCCAGTTTTCAAAATTTAAGGACACTGAATATCAACTATGTTTAGTGTTTAGTAATTAAAAAAACGAGATATAATCGCATAAAATTAGTAGAAGGCTTATAATTTTTACGTTCTCATAGCAAAAATCCATAACTAGCCTCTGAATTACAGTTCTTTGACTTAAATTTTACGCTTTTCAAAAGTTTGAAAGTGCTGCGTATTTGGTAGGTACAAAAGAGCAGCATTTGAACTTTGAGACATTTCTCGGTTTAGCCGTTTGGCTCTAGGTGATAAACGGCCTTCGTTATGAAGTAAGAGTACTAAGAGGCGGCCGCCCGGTGGTGAAGGTGCTAGCTCGTCTCACACCTGCACCACAGGTCCGGAGTTCGATCCCCGGGCTGGGCAAGGTTCACTCAGCCTTTCATCGCTTAAGGGGGTCGACAAAATGAGTACCAAGTTCTCTTGGGGCCTTAACACCAGAGGGCCTCCGACATGCTGACTGCTTGTCTTGGGCATATGCTGATGCACTTCGGGGCCCAAAGGTCAAGAAAGCAAAAAAGGGCACTGCAGGCTGTGGTCCACTAAGGCTGTTTCGCCACTGAGTTTATTAGTGATTGAGTGAGCGCCACCAATGAAGACCACTGACCGGGCCTTAGCCTCACAGTGTGATATATTCCTGGCAGAAACCATCTATTCTCTGCTTCACCCTGCTCCGGGAACGCAGCCGAATAGACGGCTAAGAGCCTCAGAAAGTCTACATGTAAGCTTGGAAGTTGTTGTACGGGGAAAGAGTATCCTGTTAAGAACTACTTAAAATTAAGCAAAGAAACAATCAAAAGATTGTTAAGAATCGCTGTTAGACTAGACAGAAACTTGTGTTAGATAAAGTAAAGATAGGAGGACTCTGCCTGAAAATTTAATTGCCCTGGATTTTCTGGACTTGCTAAATGTCTACATGCGGGTGCTAATCCTGACACAACTGTCATATATTTATGGGGCTTTTGTAAAGTCGTTAGTCCTGCATGGATGAAAGATGTAACGTATTAAATTATTGCATATAGTAATTTAAAAGGAGAGAGCGAGAGATTAAAAAATGATTAAAAAATATTCTAGCGCCCAAACATAATTTAACGCAGATTACTTTTCATGTGCCTGACTCTTATGTAGTAAGAACATTTAAAAGATTGTGTACCTGTTATCACTAAGATAACAAATTCCTGCATAATTTAGTTCTTTGCGCAAACTTTAACTGTAGTTGTTTTACAAATTGAACCATGCACCTACATTTTCTTTCGTAGTACTTGCAGACAGGATAATACATACATAAGTACAAAACTGAAAAACTACATGATACTGAGTACAGAAATACAGAAAGCTGATCCCTAATGCCTGCACACATAACACTTAAAAATGCATACGTAATACATGAAAACTAAAACTAAAAGTGATAAACATAATACATAAAACTGATCATTAAGTAATGCTATGTAGTCTAAATCCTAGCCAAGTACGAACTGACCTTCATAGTACATGCACAGAAGTAATAACTACAGACTTGAGTACTTTAAAGTGAACATAAACAGAAAAGTACAGCACCATACTCAGTAAAACAAACACTTGAGTACATAATGCTGATACATAATTACAATAATGAGTTTATTAGTACTAATAGACAGTATATTTTTCTTGCTATAGAAAACTCCGTATCAGAAAATTTTGAAAAGGGGGGGGCACCCTTGGATCTGTCGGAGAATAGTTCTTGAAATTTGGTAGAAAGCCGGCTAAAATCGTCCACACGCTATAGCCATGATAAAATTCATAAACTTTGGTGTTACTTGCAGACAATATACAGAGCCTGTTCTCATATTTTTTAGACGATTTTGGTAAGCAGTAATAAAAAATCGTTTGCTGCAAAAGAAGTAATTGCAGTTGTACTATGTTTTTAAAAGTCAAAATCATCGTCTGTGGCTTGAACGTTTTGTTTTTATTCAAAATGGCTAATTTAACAAAGCAGTGGTTCGAAGGCTACATTGACGCTCTTTCCGAAGAAAAATATGCATACTCCGTTATCCAAAACCGATGTGAGAGTCATTGTTTCGTGATATCTAAAGCGTCGATAGGTAATATCATCCAAAAGAAAGGAAAAAAACGTCAAATTGGAACCTCAACTGGGACAAAAATTGCAAAAATATATCCTAGGAAAAAACGGACATCTTTGACTATTGCAAAGGTACGTTGTTTAATGTTAAAAGAAAATCCCCCTACTCAAAGGACAGTGGCAAAATCATTAAAATGCTTGGTGTCCACTGTAAATAAAATGATAAACGTTGATTTAAATCTTAAGAAAGCGAAAAAACGCAATGTGCATCGTCTTCTTCCAAAGCATATCGCTCGACGCAGGACACGCTGCAGAATTCTATATGAGAAACACTTATCCAAATAAAAATGGAAAACAATTGTCACAATAGGTAACGCATGAGTGTATTTAAATGATTGTAACAAAAAAATTTATTATTATAAATGATCATATTATTTTTTATTATTATAAAAGTGGAGACAAAAATTTAAGTACATGGCTCAAAGAATCGAAAGAAAGGTTTTCTAAGGGATTCATGATTGTTGCTGGTTTTTCTTATAATGACAAGTTAAAAATAAAGAGAGTGCAAAAAAATGTCAAGATTAACTCCAAATACTATCAGGAACATATTTTATCGCCAATGTTTCTGAATGAAATACCATCGCTTTACCCACAATGCCTCTCTGTGAGACTCCATCAGGACAAAGCTAGCAGTCACACATCAAAATCCATGTAAATTTCCTAAAAGAAATGGAACAAAAAACTGGTATCAAGGCCATACCCTTCACTGATATCCCTACTAAATCTCCCGATGTGTCACCTATGGATTTTTGTGCTTTCGGACTTTTAAAAACTGCATTATCCAAACGTTGTCCCAAACCCTAACAGGACTCTGGAAAGCTGTTCGGGAGGAATGGGATAGGATATATCTTCTGACACTTCAAAATGCATTATTATCCTGGAAATTGCGGTGTCGAAAGATAGTTCAGAATAAGGGATGTCAAATAGAACATTTAAAACAGAAGAATTTTATGTAATTTAGTTTTGTGAATACAATACACACCTTCTAAAAAATGTGTGAACAGCCTCTGTATAATATAGTAATGTTAGTGTATCTTTATGTGAACTTTTTAAAGTGCTATGTTTATTGTTTAAGTTATCTCTTCAGAAATTGTGCACGCTGCGTAATTTTCCTCTCTCGGTTTTGAGGCGCTAAAATTAGAGGGAAAAGATGAAAGGCGAGTAAGGCGGTTTGTTTTAAGATACCGAATCTGCCTTTTCCATTGGTGCAGTAATGTACACTCTGCACAGAAAAATAGGGGGAGACAGTTGTATGTCTGCCATCTCAATAAACCGATTTACGAAATGATATCACCTTACTTGTGCCTTGGGCAATGCTCGAAAACGTGGTTCGATTAAAATTCGATTAAAATAACATTCTACTAAATATAAATATTCAATTAATCCTGATGCATAATGCGAAGTTTTATAGATATATTAATATAATTTTCTTCTCTTTCAGGTAAGTGCTGAATTGTTCTTGCAGCTATGCAAATACGAATATGTAAGTCATAATTTCAAATTTAATGATTTCGGCTATGTTACAAATTATATGCTTTATGTTATGAATACATGTATGTATAATCTGCACAAAAAATAGGACTGTTCTATATTTTCTGTTCTACCAGCCGACGGAAAAAATTTAACTTGCGTTTTTCATGCCTCGAAACCGCGACTTAGGAAATATACTAGATTTATATATATAGGGCTGTTTATATTAAAATACCTATATATATATATAATAAGAAGAAATATTGTAGTGAGCTCGCTAAAAAGTTACCAGGAGCTGTGGCTCCAAGAAATAGTTCAACGCAGTATTTTTTAAAATATTAACATGGAAGTATTTTTTAAAACATTAACATGGAAGTATTTTTTAAAATATTAACATGGAAGTATTTTTAAAATATTAACATGGGAAGGTGAAAAAACAGCCTACACGCGAAATAAAATACAGAACATAAAACTGTTAAAATCAATTGTTGGAAACATGTGAATGCACAAAAAAAAAGAGCAAAACCTATCGATGTGATATGTGAAAAGTTAACACATATAAAAAGATCGACGGAACAAGTTAAAACCAAATTAAAACATAATAATTAAAACATAGATTGCAAAAATTATAAAAATTACAAAAATTACAAAGCGGAAAATGGTAAATTAGCCCAATTGGACTTCCAGCTGGGCTTTTCAAGGGAAATTTAGTTGAATGTCGAACTAAGCTATCACCATTACGCGTTTCGCCGAAGCAGACAATTGAAGCTCTTGTTTGACGAAAAATTTTTAAATAATATGAATTGTCCCGAAAAAATCTTTTGGAGCTTCAATTCTCTGTTCCAATTTCCCGACGAGTCCGCAGAAAAACACATTAAGGTGTAAGAAAAAGTAAATGCAACTCCGAGCAAAACAAAATTAAAATAAAAATAAAATAAATAGCGGTCTGCTATTAGTCAAATTTATATATATATATATATATATATATATAGGTATTTTAATGTAAAATTGGACCTTTTCTGAAATGCGATACCAATTTTTCCACATTTCGATTCTACGTTTCAGATTATGCCAAAATATTAGATTTTGTAAAGTTTTGGTAAGAAACTTACCAGGAAGTTTAAAAGTTTATCTTCGCGCAATTTTTTCATTATGCGCCATTTCACTTTCTATAGACATTCGGTATTTTTGGAAACAGGCAAGATGAAAAATGAGCAATGCCTTCACCGGGAATCGAACCGCGGATCTCTGGAATACGCGCCAAGCATGCAGACCACTACACCACGAAGGTGGGAGAAATAGCTTATATACTCCGACTGGGGTTTTTAGGGGACCCAGTCTCCTAATACTGGGTGTTGAGAATCATCATCCCTTTTAGTTCGGGCGCCACTGTAGAGACGTTAGGTTATTTTGGAAAGCTGGGGAGAGGAAAAATGAGCAACGCTCTCCCCGGGAATCGAACCACGGACCTCTGGAATACGCGCCCAGCGTTCAGACCACTACACCACGAAAGCACGCTAAGAAGGTGGGAAAAATATCTTATAACTTAGCGAAATTCTTAACTTATAGTAACCTGTCTTCCCTTCTTTTTCATTGAATGCGAACAGAAAAGAAAAATGTGTCTTCATTCTTTCAAATACTTTAAACGCAATTTGTAAACAACATTTAGCTTTATTATCGCTTATAACAAATATGTCAAATTTGAAAAATCCGCCAATATATAAATTGAATCTAATTTGGAAATTTTGAATAAAAAGCGGTTTTGCAAGGGTGGATAGAAATACATCTACTATAAGACGATGTCAAAAACAGTATAAATTCAAAATTTTTTAAATACGTCATAAAACTTGTGCGAATTTCATTTGGCTTTAGCCTAAATGTCGAAATGTGAAGGAAGGAATCAGGTAAGTAAATCTCCCGCCCCCCCCAAAAAAAAGATATTGATAGATTTGTACCGAATTTAATTAACACTGAAAAGCTAAATTTTGAAACTGAATTTTCTAAAAACTAACCGGGCGTTGTTTACGAAATTTGCCTCTTCGGCATAATTTGAGGCATACAATCGAAATATGGAAAACATCGCAATATCATTTCAGAAAAAGTCCGGTTTTGTATAAATCTAAAATGTAACCTAAGTTCAGCTTTCAAGGCATGGAAAATGCAAGTTGAATTTTGTCAATTGACCCATTAGAACTGGAGATATAGAACTGTGCCATTTTTTTCTGTGTAGAATGTGCATTAATAATGCACTCAGATGCATTTGCATTATATATTATTGCTGATACAAACAAAGGGTACTCCAACAAGAATGACATGGTTTTAAAATAAGAGCTATTTCAGATAGAACCAAACTTTTAAAATTATTTTGACATACAATATATTGCATTATGTTCAGAATAAAATATCATTTAAGTCTCCACCTCGCCTTTGGGCACACGAGCGAACTCTTGACCCCAGTTTCCCATGACTGTATGCAATAACTCGGACTTAATATCACCAATGCAATAATTTTTTAATGGTCGAGCGATTTGTTTAATAGCCATTAGCGTTTCATCACTACGCGGGCAAGGAAATGGTGGTCCTTTCACTATGGAAGCGCCCAATAGGTGCCCACAGCTGCCTCTTATTGAAGAGTCGGATAGTTACAGCATGCCTTCTCCGGAATTCGAATCCGGGCCCATCGCTATGGCAGTCACGGTCACTAAACACTATTAATAGAATTTTATTATATTATTATGGTCAATTAAGGACTATAATAATATAATAAAATATAATAAAATAATTATGGGCTATTAAGGTCTATTATGTACTGTCATGGACTATGAAGGACTAAAATGTAATTTATATGGACTGCTAATATGCATGGACTTTAACTGCACGAGGCAAGTACAATTGATAAAAATGGACAATGGATATATTAGGAGAATGAGATTTGTTAGTCTTGCACAAAATTTAACATTCGGACATTGAAAATAAACCACGACTATTAGACACTATCTATGTTTAAAGGGCAAATTTACAAGTGCAATACCTATAAAACAATGAACATTTAATATTGATATGCAAGACAAGGTATGTTAAAATTTAAAACAAGAATGACGGAGCCCTCTAAATGCAAAGATGTAGCAAGACTGCTACTGACTATATAAACACCATAACTATATAAACCTATTTGAATTTATCTAATAAAAAGGGACCTCCACCGATCAGGCATTCATTCTGTTTGCAATTTGCTCCTATCAGAAGCCTGGTCGGTGGCGTCCCAGTCACTAAACATTATACCGTAGCTGGGCGACTTCAGTGCAATACTCTATATTAATTAGTCATTCTTCAAGGGTCTCTTGTTTGTTCGCATCGATCATTCGCTTCAGGGCCCACCAGCGGCCGAGCGGTAAAGACGCTGAACACTGGTAGTTCAGTCCGAGGTTCGAATCTCGCGAACGGGCTGGCTGCATGGGCGTTTTCGTGGTTTTCCCCATGTGTAACGTGTACGAGCCAGTTTCCCATAGAAAGTCCTCCACGAAGGCATTCCTCCCATTAGGAAGGTAGCCCTCGTGTTCTTTGCCATAATTAAATAATCCAATCCAATCCATCCGCTTCAGATAACTCTCCAAAACGAATCTAAAAGGGATAAATCATAACTTCTCGGAGGCCAACTAAAAGTTGCATTTCGTGAAACTTTCTTTTCAGCAAACGTTTTCTTGTAACACGTCAATAATGGTGTTAACTTATGTTACATCTGGCACCTTCTTGTTGAATATTCATGTGCCCCCATCTCAATTAATACCCTCCAAATCTGCTTACGTACATTTTTACCATTTGTCGGTATCGCTCACCAGTCACTGTAACTGCAGTGACGCCATACACGCCATACAGTGACGTTTTGCGAATGCAAGGGCTTGCTGTGAATTTGTCATGGACTATTTTCATGTACAACCAAAAGTTTTATTTGTTAACATAACCAATAACGCAGAAATAACTTTTGGCAATTGCTTTTGAAACAGATATTTAGCTGTAAGGATTATTTAAATTTTCTAATACCTACTATTCACTTTGAAACCCTTTCCTATAAATTCTTGTTTTTCACATACAACTTCCTGGCAGAATGAGATTTTAGTACCGCGTTCTGCATAAATGAAGTAGAACTAGTATTTAATGGGAAGTTCAGTCACTTTCGTAGAAGAGCTCAGAGGCATGTTCTGCCTTCAGGCCATGTCTTGTGATACTTCTTTGGCAATATGAAGCAACTCCAATGATGGAACACAGAAAAAAAACTTTATTTAACACTCAGAATGGCGACATATAAAACAAGAAGAAGAAAGAATACTAACATTTAAAAATAAATTACATTCTTCGTGCAAGAGTCGCACGTGGCACTCGAGTCTGGTTTCAAATATTGCCATTCACAAATACCTTAGTGTTCATCTATTTAAATTATTTAAACTACAAGATTTTAATATTATTTAAAGCTGTTACAGTCGTAAGCCTATTTTGTTACGCTCGGCCATAGTCTTACTTGCCTGTTAGTATTCGCCGGTGAAATTTAATTACGGACCAGTTCAGGTAATTATCTTTGTACAGCTTCGAATAAAGTTTAGCTAGTAATAATTCATTTAGTTCCTTATTTTCTACCTTAAATTAAAGCCCAAGTGGAGGCTTTGCTGTAAGCCTAAGAAGGGCCGTCTGCAGTATTCCTTTGAATGAATAGAAGGATATTTTAATCTTTCTTTGGACTTATAGTTGCAAGAAGACCAGCGAATAGCCTCTAGACACTTTACTAAAGTTCTAATAGCCAACGGCACGTAAATTAACTAGAACTTTCTATAGCCATGATAAACTGTCACCGAGGCTAAAAGGAAAAACAAATCGTGACAATGATAACACTTAAAACATGGTTGACATTTGGTTTCAAAATCGTATCAGTCTCAGAGTACCCCTTATATGTCCGGTAGCATGGCTCTCCCTCTCACTGGCGGTGCCGTATATATACGGCCTAGAACATCCTTTGTGATG